GTGTGCAAGTTCTGTGTGCACACGCTCTCTGTGCATGTGCTTTGTGTGCATATGCTCCATGTGTGCATGCTATGTGTGCGCATGCTCTGTCTGTACATGCTCTATGTGTGCGCACGCTCTGTGTGTACATGCTCTATGTGTGCATGCTCTGTGTGCACACGCTCTGTGTGTGCAAGTTCTGTGTGCACACGCTCTGTCTGTACATGCTCTATGTGTGCATGCTCTGTGTCACTCAAACAGTGGACGTTAATGTGATCTTGTTTGTAATTACTCCAAGAAGTTGTTGTATAAGTTTGTCTCATTACTGAAACATAAATTTAAAGAAATAGAAAACACCTTCTGATTATTTCAGCTTTTATTCTATGACTGAAGCCCCAACTGACAAGACGGAGTATAGTAGATGTCTCCCTCTGCTGTATTTATGAGTTTCACTTTTAACTTCTATCTTTTGATCTGAGAAAAATAATAAAGCACTGTTTCCTCGGTCCCTCTCTTCTGACCCCTCATTCCAGAGAATCCCTGTCACCTTTGGACCTGTCATCTAAGTGCCGGAACTGGTCCTTCAGAAGCCTGGCCCTTTGTACTTCCTTGCTCCAGTTCTTCTATGAAAAGCTGTGCCTAAAACTTACGCCCAGCACTGTGACGGCCAAGTCCTAGGAGATATCACTAGAAGCAGTGTGAGGTAGACTCAATTTTAAAAGGAACATTTCTAATACAGATCAACATACCATATGCGTGTGTACCAATACCCCACAATGAGTATCTAAAACATATATTACTAAAGGTTTTTAAAGAAATAAAGTTTGAGAAATGCATGCACACAAAAATGAATTAAAACAATGGCAGTGTTTTTATTGTCTATGTCCATAAGATTTTTCATGGAATGCTTCATTTTGTTGATATGCAGTATTCAGTTCAGTAATTTTGTTGAACTTACCAGCCCACCAACTGTCTACAGAAATGCAGAGATGGTTAGATTCGTAGCCACAGTTTGTCTTTCTGGTGGGGTCAACTAATCTACCTAGAGATCAGAAATACACAGTTGTTATTATTACATACATTGCAAATGAGTTATGGTCTCACAAAGCTGGGTAATGTTATGTATAAATGCAAACATGCATTTATTAATTACATTGTTAATTTAGATTCCCATCATACTTTTCTACTTTTTGTTTCATATCTCTCAATCATTTCATTTTCCTGAACTACAGCACAGTTCTGATTCTTAAATTAAAGGCCTTAGATTTTTTGCTTTTCTAAGCTTAAATTCTTTTTCTCCCTTCCATACAGACTATCAAAAATTATGGAAGTAAAAGAAGGGGCCAAGAGTCAAACAAGCCATTGCTCCATTATTCACTGGTTTAGCCTTTCAAATATGTTCCCTGCACATATCTTTGTTTCCTTATCTATAAAATCAGGATAGTAACTGTATAGGTATATCATAAGTTTTGAAGAAGGCAATAAATCATCAAAAATGTTTCACCTGATAAATATGTATCATGTAACCATTGGAAAACAATCTTTGCTTTGATAAATTAAATGGCTCTTTTTCTTCTCTCTCTCAGTCATTTTCTGCTAATCTTGGTTATTCATAAGGGGTAGGCATCAGGCATCACCCTTTCTGAGGGGATTACTTCTGTAACTTTTCTGTAACTGAAGTAAAATTTCTCTTTGAGTTGTACATGTTTTGTCCAACAATATATTTTCTGTCCACACACTGTACTGAAAGGTCTCTTACCTCCAAAAGAAAGCAATAACTTGCAGAGAAAGAACTACATGAACAAGGTGCTGCTGATTTATGATTGTATGGCCATTGTCAAGTAATCACTATTGTGTCTCCAAGAAATTCTAAGTAATTTGGTATAATCTTCTGTTTTTACTTTATATCCACTAGGTAATTCTATTTATCCGTGTGATAAAGAAGAAGTCCACTTTCACACTTAGTGAGGCTTCAATAAGTACTCGTAAAATGATCACTAGGTTAGATCTGATATCTTTCTGTGGTTGGTCCCTGTGCTTTAAGGGTCACTAACGTCTCCAGTAGAAACAGACAACTCCAGAAGGAAGGACTTGTCAAAAAGGGAAAGAAAAAATAGAAAAAATAATAATCATAATGAGGAAAGGGGAAAATCAGTGTTAAAAATGCCTAAAATATAGAGTCCAATATGCAGACACTAATCTGAAAGATCATTAGAATGAAGACAGGGCTCTTTCTTACCTGAGCTATACTGCCAGCCGTGCTGAAGTGGAAGTCCCCATAAGATGTTTTGTTCATTTTCTGGAGCAAATTTTTCAAAATAGGTGGCTGTCTGGTTCAGTAGGATTTTATACAGCCCCATTCTGTCAGTGAACACCCAGGGGTCGATAACGTATTTCCCATTCTCGACCTTGTAGTTAAAGAACTGCCCAGGACTCTCATTCCACAGAGGAGGATACAGATCTGAGAGATTGGAAGCTCCTGCTAAAGCAGCAGAAACGCAGCCAGCCAGTACACAGGCCCAGGAGGGAAGGAAAGCCATGGTGCCAAGGCTGGGGTTGAGATTGTGGCAGGGCTTTTATCAGGGAGCAGAGGAGGAAGTCACAGGGCTGTCCTATGTTATACCTTATCACCGCTTTGCTTTTTTTTTTTTTTGCTCTACTAGGACTTATAATATTGTCCAAAGGTGTAAAACATGCATGTGATTCCATTAAACTACAAATTTATACTGCAAGAAAGAACTTTGAAATATTTCCAAATAGCACAATCAAATATGCAAACCCTGTTTGTCAGAGGAACAAGGTAACTAATTCCCAAGAACCATTTTTTCCCCAGTAAAACAATCTTAGAATTATAGCCAAGGACATAGTTTCACCAAATTAAGGCTATGCTTGCAGTGTCTGTTGCAGGGGTAGCGTGTAAGTGAGTGTTGACCATTGGGAAACCACAGCCAGGATGTCCACAGTACACGGCACTTGTTATCAACAGTCCCTCTACAGTACAATGCTGCAGTTGAGGTTCTTAGACCTGGCCAGCTGAGATTTGGTGCCTGCTGGTCAACCTTTCCCAACAACTCCGTCCCTAGTAGAGTCTCCTATAGATCACTCTTGATCAGTCCATTCCTGTAAGATGCCACATGAGTGAGTTCATGCAGAGCGAGCTTTTCTGATCCCTCCTCAGTATGCTTGGAGTAATGCTTCTCCAGGTCCATGCTGTCCTCAAGCATGACAAGGCTTTGAGGTGTTTATGGCAGTGTGTGAAGTGCATTCTACATGCCTGCCACTTTCTTCTCATCTTTTGCTCTTGTTGGGCACATAGCTTGTTTTTCTTTATTTAACTATTATTCATAGTGCTGTAATAAGCAGGGAAGTACAAAACATTCCTCTGGATAGATACCCAGAGCAGTAGTACTACTTTTAATTTTCTGAGGAATATAGCTTCCATACTAGTGAAACTAATGGTTTGGCTAATTTTCCTTCCCGCCAATAGTGTGTGTATTTTTCTTGCCATCTTTGCCAGTTATCTTTTGTCGCTTTGATAACAGATAGTCTTATTTAGATGAGGTACCCTCTCATTGTGCTTTTGATTTGCATTTCTAGATGATTAACAATGTTGAGCATTTTTCATGTATCTGGGGGCCATTTGTGTAACTTCTTTAGAGAATCATGTACTCTTATATTTTGCCCATTTATAATTGGGCTGTTTGTTGTGTTTTGCTTTTATTTGATTTTTGACAGGGATGATTTGTTAATTTTGTGGCGCCTCTTATATATTCTGGATGATAATTCCACAGCTGATGCATAGTTTCCAAATATTGTCTCCCATCCGGTGGATTTTTTTTTCTCACTCTAATAATGGTTTCCTTGGTGTGCAGCAAACATTTTAGTTTTGTTTAAGCCTCATCTGCTTCTTTGAGTTCTTATTCCTTGTGTTTGGGGGTTCTTCTCCAAACTCCCTATCGCCTCACAATGTGAAGCATGTTCTCGGTTTATTCCTGCACTAGTTTTATAAGAGGGGCTTAAAGCTGCTTTTTACTAATGGAAAAGACTCTTTACTTTGTTTTACAGATGTCCAATGGGTGGTTATAAAAAGCGTAACAGTTTGGCATCTCTGCCATCATATTTCATCCTTCTACTTTTGCTACCTTTAACTTTGGGGTCAAATGACTCTGAACATGTTAGTCATTTAAGGAATGTTGGCATTTGCACTAAATGTACATGCTGTCTGTCCTCCCCTTTTAAACATGAAGACACCGAGAGTAACTGAGATATTTTCAAGATTCACTGACACATCAAGACATATTTTCAGCCTGCACTTTTTCTTTGACAACACTCTATTTCAGACTACTAAAAAGGCACCCATGAGCTTCTAGTCCTTGTCATAAACCTGAAGGATGCCCCCCCCCAATCACAGCCATAGCTCCATCTTCCTTTTATGGCTTGTTCTTTACCGGGTCATTCTCTTCTACAGTTTGCTGGGATTCCAAGAATAACATATCTGACTGAAAACCATCTTAAGAAGAGTCAAAATTGCCCCCCCCCCCCGCAGAAGCAACGATCTCAGTGCCAGCGCATCTCTATCACCAGTCCTGAGATGATGACCAACTAGACAACAGCCTGAGCGACATTCCAGCATGAAAGCGCTGTTTCTGGCCTGCATTCATTTCATATTTGACCCCAAGAATACTGCAAATGTGAGGAAGATGGAATCTTAATGTGCCTACCTAAGGGTAAACACATTCCTCCCTCGCGTACTATTTGTCCCTTCAACTAGAATTGGGACGGGTGCTGGGGCCTTGTCTTTGGGACCTCAGAGCCAATTTTGGTCCATCTCTGATAATGATATCACTGTTTCTTGTCTTATATTTAAGTATTTAATCCATTATAGGTTGATTTTTTGTGAGTAGAGTCCAGTTTTATTCTTCTACATGTAGATGTCCAGTTTTCTCAACAATTTTTATTAAACAGATTGTTCTTTATCTAATTCATGGTTTTATACCTTAATCAAAAATAAGTATAGCATCCTGTAACTCAGTGGTGTCCCAAATTTTCTGATCAAGGAGATTATGGGGCCACAGAGGAAGGTGATCAACTATGTACAGTGTGCCTAAGGAGAGTCACCTAGAGGGAAAAATTCTCTCAGGCTTTCACAGAGAGCAAAATGGTTAAGCAATGGCCGTGACTCATACAGATGGCTGACACTGACAAAAGGCCACAAGGTGCTGCACATGGTTCCAAGGTAAATCCTGAGGGGATTTGACTGACCTTGCCAGATGACAGAAGTTACATTTTTAGTTATATAGGTCTTGCTTTAACTTAGTCTTAAACATCAGCAGAAAAGTGTAATCATGAGGCATAAAAGTAAACTATATTAATATGATGAGCTGTGAAAGGCTCTCATCAAAAACTTCAGGTGATTGCCAGTTGTGCTGATAACTCACTGCTATTATGGACTATTGGTGTACATTGGGTTATTTTGCTGAATTCCAGTGCCTACAATCTCTGGTCTGGCATCAAGTATGAAAAATTCCTTTAAATGCTTCTCCAAATATAGCTTCTCTAACAACAATGGAACATCCATCTCTGACAAAACGAAACAAAAAAGGGGGATATAAATAAAGGACTGTTATTTTATTTTATTTTATTTTATTTTATTTTATTTTATTTTATTTTATTTTTGGTCTGTGTGTGTGTGTGTGTGTGTGTGCGTGTGAAAAAATATATATGTATGTACAAGACAGGATAGGTATACAGCTACTTTTTCTTAGTTCATTTAGAGGAAAGGTTTGTACTAATATAGTTTCGATAAGATGTCATGTCTACATCTTGTCCTCTGAATAGCTACTGTGAAGATAACAATATACAATGTATTAATTATTTCAACTGTCTTATTAACCTATTTTGAAATAGCTTCATTGTTATTTTTTATCTTTTTTCTCATTAAAGTGAAAAAGTAGATAATATAGCAACCATTGTTAATTAGCTATCTATTTTGAAAATCTATAACATGTGCATTGTTGTATGTTACCCTGTTTCTGTCATTTTTCTATTTGTTTTTGCTTCTGTTTTCACTCTTCAAATTGAAATAAAAATAAGTAAGGCATAGATATATGGAACTTTTTAGCACTAAACTGTATTTCATTTTTCTCTATGTGTTTTCCTATCAAGGCCATGCTATTGTGATTACTACAGTTTTCTAGTATACTTTGGTATCAGATAGTGTAATGCCACTAGAGTGTTTCTGGACTTTGTTTGTTTTGTTCTTGCCTCAAGACTGTTTCATATATTCAGTCTTCTGTACTTACATGTGAATTTTAGGAAGCTTTTCTAGTGCTGAGGTAGGATAAAAGAAATTATGGTAGAAAAGAGACATGGAAAACTCATAATCTTAGAACAGTACTTTCAAGCAAACCATGACTTCTGGACAGGAATAAGGTTACCCAAGGTGAGTCATACCTGTACCCTTGTATTTACTTCTAGACTTATTTGTACTCTGAGTGTGATTTATGCTCTGAAGGCTGGTTTGCCTTTGTCTTTCATATCAAATCTTCTTCAGGATACTGTAAGTCTGCAGATTAACTTCATTGCCAAGGTAAGAGTACACAACCTAACATTAAGGTGAAGAAACAAATTCCAAGGGCTCAAATAGTATTTTTAGGCAAAATGTCTTAGATCTCTTAAAAAATGCTTTCAGGAACACATTCACATTCCCAAACACAGATGACCTCTCTCCTGAGCCTACACTGTGTTTTCTGTAAGCACAAACTTCTTTAATGCTGCATGATGAAATCTATACCACTCACTAATGCTTCCTGAAATTCTTCTTCTGTGTCAAGAATTGAGCACAAGATTTCCCAGATCTTCCCTGGAAGAATTCCTTGAATCCTATCCACTGGAAGCTCTTAACAGAATTCATAGAAGTAAAACAGCTGAGGGACCGGGGACATAGCTGAAGTGCCCAATGGTTTAAGTACCTGCCTGGAAGCGCAAGACACTGAGTTTGATCCCTGGTATGGCAAAGAAAAAGGGAGTCTGACTTTAGAAGAAGAGGAGTAAAACAGCTGAGATGAAAGTTTACCTCAAAAAATAATGATTAAGGCAACATAAAATTAAAATAGTGATGAATAATAATGATAAAAGATAATAGTGATAAAACTTTCTGTAACAGATGTTGCAGATATTGAAACTTTTTATAAATTCTCAAAAATAGAGTAATATACTGCAGTCATTGATCTCATTGTGTGACCATACAGAGAAAGACAAAGGTCACTGGATGATAAAGAAATATTTTGTACAAAGCCTAAACACAGATGAGAATTTAATTAGGAACTATAATGGGACTAGACACAAACATTGCCTATATATCAACAGGTGGGATAGTTATTGAAATTAACACACACAATGTAAAAAGTGATTCTATTCTTCAGAAAAACATTCTGAGGGCCAGGGAGATGGCTTAGTGGAATAAGCACTTCCCTGGCAAGCCCAAGGGCCTGAGTTCAATCCCTGGTTCTGCCAAAAAAAAAGAAAGAAAAAAGAAAAA